TATATATATATATATATAGCAATAGTTTGAAGTGATCAGTAATGAATAATAATTAAATATCCCATAATGCCCCATCAGCCATTGAGCAGCTCCGTGTTCATGTACGACGTCACAAAGGCATGAGAAAATTTGAGTGTACTGAATGTGGTTACAAGTTCACCAGACAGGTATGAATTAGATGTATTTATGGCTTAACATATCAGAAAAATAATTTCTTTTCTGAAATAATAATACTTTATGTCTAAGATCTCAGCGTCTCTATCCTGCCTTTGACAGGCACATTTGCGGCGACACTCACAGATCCACAACCGCATGGAGAACTACAACCCCAAACTGAGACGCTTGCGTAACCTGGTAGTGGAGGACGAGAGCGCAGCTGCCTCATCTAGTCCTCCCAGCCAGGCAGAGGCTCAGGCAGGGCCAGCGGACATGGTTAACCTGGTTATCCAGCCAGAGGCAGTTGTGGTGAAACAGGTCATCTCAGCCTCTGCTGGAGGAACAGGAGGAGAGCAGGCCACATATTCAATGACTGATGGAGCAGTGAGTGGTGAACAGACTGGGACTGCTCTGACTGGAAGGACTGGTGGTGGAGTGGAACAGACTCCGTTCACTGTAGCAGATGTGATGGAGCAGACCCTGCTGGTGACCGATGTCCAGTCCAGTGTGGTGGTGGAACTGCCAAGCTCTGGAGCTGATGTGAAAGTCTAAATGAAGGGGACTTATTGACTCCAGAGCAACGAAGCTACTTGACAAAGGTTTAAGAGTTTGAGACATGTCAGCCATTGTAAATAAATAGCTTTCTTGCATGAAGAAATCATTTTCTTATTAATTTATCTTCAAAGAAATTGGAAATGACTGAGGACTCGGTTGTATCAGGCATGATGATGCAAGATCATCTTGACTTTTCCATAACTAAATTTTTGGGATCAATAGGAGATCGTCTACTGGAGTCAGTAATTATTTTGAACGCAGGTCATTTGTAACCCAGCTTCTGCAAAAATGTTTAGCTGTTAACCAGTTTTTCAAGTCAGACTGTGTCTACAATTTTTGTTTGAAAATGTTCTTTCTCTATTTGGATGAACAGACAAAAACTTAAAAGCTTTTTTATTCTTTAAGGAAAAAGTAATGCCTCCCTTATTTGTACTAACTAATTAACTGGCACTTTAATTTACAAGATGTTTGACAAAATTGGATACAATAACATGCGACCAAAGTTCTTGTAAGATAATGTCTAGATTTATTCAGCATCTGGATGGCATAATGTAAATTAAAGACTATTGTAATATAAGCAAAACAGTCACGAGCTTCATGTATACTCTTGTTTTAATGGAATAAACTATTAAAATACATAGAAATCCAAATCGGTGTCTATTTTTATTCACTTTTCCATGCGCGTCTTGTTCTATGGTTTTAAAGTATTTAATTTCATAAAAAATTATGTACAATTTAATTAAATTGCTAAACGCACTATTCAAGAAAACATTAAATCAGATTTTCTACATCCCATTTGACATCTGTAACTTGATGTATTTCAGATTGAACTCTGATTTGGAATAATGTGCACAGATAAATAGTAAACAATAAAACCAGGGTCAGTTCTGATTATATGTTTACTGTTCTTCATTATGGAGTTTAACTTTTATGTGCTAGACTGTCCACTGTTTATTTATTGTGCTCGAGCTGAATACTCTTTCTGCATCCTTATATGACACAGTGACTTCCACTGATTGATTCCAGAGGGCAAGATGCACAGTACTAATTCCAACTTGATGGAAAATTAGATGTGTCTAACACAAATCTATGAGGGGCTTTGCAGAACATTCGAATGTTAAAACTGTATGTCAGACAGTTCGTCTCTCACGTGATTGTGAACTTATTACATATAGTCATTTATTGGTTGACCAAACAAACATTACACAAATCATCACCTTGTCTGTATTGTACAAATGATTTAGGCCAAAAACAAAAACAAAAAAACATTTAAGGAAAAATAAAATCAACGTCAAGTACCGCTTAAGCGTGTCGTAAATAATTAGTTTCATACTGTTATTGTCAAACACATACATTTACTCAAGAATAACGAGATACTGAATTACTACTTCCAGTTATTAGTACAGCATTCGAATACAATTTGGCATAAAAATACAATACCTTCATCTATTCCTCATGCTTTCTTAATGACTGCAGACAGCTTAATAAACACAAGCTGTTTCTCATAAACGGTTACATACATTCCTCTAAAATAAACAACGACTAGATAATCATAAACTTAATTTAATATTAAAATATGAGAGTTGAAAAGCAAGGCGGATACAAATTCACACAAAAAAAATGTGATCACTGCATGCACGCTATTGTCTGAAATATGTAATTCTAGCAAGATGAACAATAAACAATGGGTTATGCTGGAACACAGTTATTATGTTTATCTGTAAAAACTATGGTGTTTTTGGAAAATCTTGGATTCTCCCGTATCTTCTCGGTGTATATAAAATACCTTTTGTTTTCCACATTGCAGAATTCTGTCCAATCATGCTACAAACATGCATCTACAGTTTTAATTGATCCAAACTTTCACTTTTTTGGAATGATTGGGGTCTCAAATTTTTATTTTTTGAAAATAGCAATTTTTTACTTTACATTAGGTTATGATATGATATTATATTTTTTGGGATGTTGGCTTGAAGTTGCATTGTTGTGGATCACTTCAGGAGGTCCATGCTGAATTATAAAATTAATTTAAAAAGAAAAATTAGCATAACCTTCATGCAATTTCCATTGCTTGAAATTCACCAAACATGATAGGCACTATTTCATGAGTCACTTCACTCAAGTCTCTGTTCAAGGTAAACACAGTCAGCATTAGAAATGCATGCAACAATTAAATCTGTAGTAACACTGGGTTACTGGGAGAAATAATGCAAACATTGATTGTCCATTCACCAGCTCCCTTTGCTGCCCGGTTGAGGTGAATATGTGATAAAGTGCAAAACACCTAGTAGCGATGTCACATTGAATGACATTCAGTCTCGTGTTTAGTAAAGTTCTCAATGCACTTCATTGACATCTTGGTTGCGGTTCTGATTGACATTGTTGTTGTGGTTGTGAAGTGCCTGATTGCGGTGGTGTCTGTGGAGGTGCATGGCATTGGCCTCAGCTATGTCGATGGGTTCGAAGGTGCTTGGAACAAGAGGCATGAACTGTCGGAATATGCTGACACTTCCATGCCAGAAGGTGGGCTGGGGGAGTCGGCCAGCTGGGGTCCAAGATCGAGTAGAGGGGTCATAGACCTCCACCACGTCAGATAGCTCAAAAGTGTTGTCATAGCCACCGGACACATAGAGTCGACCGCCCAGAGCTGCTACACTGCCTCCAACATGAACCTGCGGAAGGTGAGACTTTTTAGTTACCTCTGTGAACGCCTAATGTGCGTCAATGATGTGATGCTCATTTTTTGTCCTATTAAATTGTTCAAAATACAATTAAAAAGCAACTAATCCATATAGTGATTTAAATGCACCTGTTTTATGATCATGTTTTTAATTTTTTAATTCAAATTTTTTTATTTTTGGAGTGTGATACAACTGTCCTGGTATCACAAAAAAAGCATTAAATCCAAGCAAATGAAAAGAAAAGAAAATCTTAGATAATTTTGAATCTTTTATTATTAATAATATTTTTGTCTTATAAAATTATTTCTTAGAAAAAAAATACAAAACTGGATTAATTAATAATTAAACGCTTTTTAATATTTGAAAACTTTTGTCTGCCAAATCCAGGTTATGTGGTCTTGCCAGAAAAATCATGGTCCAACCAACATGCAGAAATGTGCAGGAAAACACAAAACTGCAAATGATATAGAGAGAACTCTTACAGACCCTCATGATGGAATTTTTTTTTTTTTTTGAGTTGGTGGTTAATTCATATGAATTGGTCTTATTGGCATCTGCTTGTGCCCCAGTGATGGTTGCGTTTAGAGGTGCTTACTTTTTTCTTAAAATAAAAAAAGTTTGTAAAATAGTCACATTTTCTTGTGAGATTGGGATGAAATATCAGATAATTTGACCTTTATATGACAAGGTCAGTTCAGGTTGTAAAATGTCATGAGGTGCCACTCCCCAAAAACTTTAAATTAATAATTCATGATATTTGTAAAAAATTGTAATTGTCATTGACCTGTGTACAGAATATGTAAAGGTGCGGTCACAAAATTTCACAGGCAAAAAAGGTCCATTGTCAATAGTGATGCAGTGACTTGCAAAATCTGTGTGAAAAAATGTTTTGCCCTCAAGAGAAATTCCAGATCGCGTGGATTACTCATAAAATTACTAAATTTTGACCTGTGAAAATTTGCTGAACAACGGTAAATGTGATCACACCTTAAGAAAAACGAAACAAGGTAAAATGTACGTACTTGTGTCATGGGACTAATCTTTTCCCATTCGTTTTTCTGTGGGTTGTAGACATCTACTTCTGCTGAATCATCCCTGAAACATAACCCTTGTCATGAGAAACATGGAAAAACTCACTTCCTTTATTATTTCTTTTTTCTGCATATCATTAGCTACTGGATATTTTAAGATTGTGGGGAAAAAGTGAGTACCTCACCTTACAAAGTAGATCAACCCATTTAGAGTCATTGATTTGGGGGCAAAGGACCATGGAGGCAGTTCTCCACTGTTGACTAGTGACCAACGGTTGCTTTCAGCATCGTAGCACTGAATTGCCATTGTGTCCTCTCCGGTTAAGGAGCCAATGGCATAGAGCCGTCCCCTGCACGCCGTAGTAGAACAGTTATCCATGGGATGTGGCATGGGCGGAAGGGCCTCCCAGCAGTCTAGAGTATGATCATAGCGCTCTGTGCTGTCAGAGGCTACCACATAGAGTTGACCCTTCAGGACGCAGGAGCTGTGGTACTCTCTGGCTTTCAGCATGGGGGAGACCTCCGTCCACTCGTTCACACTGGAGTTGTATCGCCAAACGCAATCATAGAGACGTGATCCATCTGAGCCACCTGTTGTAAATGAAGCAGGTTTGAAAGCTTAAACACAATACCAAACAGCCAAAACCAGAATAGATGTTCTTTCCTATCATTTATCAACCCTATTTTTCAAACTTGCACACTATGTGACACTCTTTAGGGTTGCTGCTATTAGGGATGGCTCGATACCACAATTTTGACTTCGGTACGATACTAGGATCTAATACCTCGGTATCGATACTAAATCGATACCATAGGTGACAAATAACCAGCCTCAAAATATAAGTGAATTGAAAACAATTTTATTAAACGCACTGCTTGGGACCCTGCATGAAAAATTGTGCAAACAAAATGTAAAAAAAAACAAAAACAAACTTACATTGAACAGATTTTGATTTTGAAGAAAGAAAACTGAAGAGATAAAATTAAAATAGGATCATCTCTTCATATCTTTTCAGTCTTTATCACATGGTGCAAAGAAAATGTATCAGAATGTAACAAAAAAAAAATACAGAGTAGAGTCGGTTGGTTCACCTTTTTCATCACTTTTGTAGGCAAAGTAATGCCATATTTCACTTCTACCGCTTTCTTTATTTATTCATTTCGGACGTGTAGAGTGAGTTTCACCTGTTTTATCCATTGTCGTTTCTCCGTTGTCATGCTTGCCGGTTTCGCGTCAGTTTGGGTAACACTGCCACATAGTGGTGAACTTTGGAACAGCAGCGAATGAAATACCGAATTGAGCAAAATGATGATATCGTACCGTTTGAAATATAATATATACCGGTATTTTTCCAGTACCGGTATACCGCACATCCCTAGCTGCTATAAACAGGGATAATTTGGGATTATTAAGGATAGTTGAAAAAAATACCAGGACAAAAAATGTAGTTCAATTCTGTGAACGGTTCTTGTGCAGCCTGATTACAGAATGAATTGCTTGTATGAATCAGTTCTTTTCAGTGAATCAAACATACAGCTTAAAACTAAAGGTGTGGACAATGAAATTTCAGCAAAAAATATTCATTTTTATTGTCAGTAGGGTGGATGAACTGTGAACCTCACAGAAAAGTCTCATTCAAACCAAGCAGCTATCTTGAACCTGTTTCGAAATCTGCGTAGCGAAATCTTGTGCCCTCATGCAAAATTCCAGATCGTGTGTATTCCTATTGAAATCACTGGAGTTCGCCTGTGAAAATTACAATGGTAAATGTGACCGCACCTTAACTGAAAGTGTAGTTATTGACTGGTTGTTCATTTTACATGTAAAAAAAAAAAAAACATTATGTGTTCATTTAGTAATATTATATAAAAATATACAATTAAAATATATTAGTATTTTTTGTTTCTTGAGCAATGTTATTTAATAAACAGTTAAGGCTAGCCTGTGTAAATGCACCTTTTGGAAGAATCTTTTCAGATTTATTATTGAAATTAACATTTGTAGTGGAATTGCATTTATTTTTACCAAATATTTATTACTTAAAAGTACTAAAAGAATCGTTAATAGAATCATTAAGGAACCAGAATCGCTGAGTGCAATCGGAAACGGAACTGTTGAATTCCATAGTCAGTGCTCAGTCACCTTTTTAAACACCACTTACATAACAGCAAAGGACACTTAGAATAGAAGTAGCATTTAACCGCATGAGATGGTTTCTCGATTGAAACATTGTCCGCTCCTGAAGGTAACATTCATGTCACCTGAAATCATGTTGACCACTGCTGATCTGGTAGAACATTATGTCCTATCACCACACTTTTACATAGCCGAATATACAGGGCTTTATTTATACATTGGCTGCCATGTTGTAAACAGTTTGGAAAGAAGGACACTCTGAGCCTGCCTGGGGATTTGTGCTTTCTTCTATTACATTAGTATGATGGCACAAGTTGAAGTTGATCATTGAGTAAGGCTGATGATACACGGGGCAACTTTTTGAGCAATATTGCCGAGGTGAGACACAGGGCCCACGACCGATCTAAAGTATCTAGATAGAAATTTGTTAGCCATCCTCAATGAGAAAGTGCCCTAGCAACATTACTCAAAAAAAGCTGCCAGGCAAAACTGCTCAAAAAGTTACCCCATGTATCATCAGCCTATAAGTTTGTCCCAACAGGAAACATCATCATTGTACTAACCTGTCACGTAAATGTCATTGCCCAGGGCGGCTATGCTGTAGCCACCTCCAAGGTGGTCTGGGAATTCTGCTAAGTATCTCCACTGTCCAGTATGTGGGTTGTAACAATCCACTGTAACAAGCTCATCACAGTCTTGATCACATCCTCCCACCACCACCAGAATTTCGGCCAGGCCGGTGGATGGACGTGGGCGCATTCGATGGCTGGGTCGGTCATGGCGGTCATATTCGTAAGACTGAAAGCTGCGTGCCTCACTGACTAACCGTAAACAGGCTGGCGACAAGTAGACCAGTGGATTGCTCTCCACATGGGCCAGAAGGTAGAAACGGCGAACAAACGGCAGCCGTACTTGCTGCAACAACTCAGGCCAGTAATACAACCGGTGCTGCAAGTCAGCTTTAACCCAGCGCACGGCAATCTGGTACGCCGTTTCTTCCTTATCCACACACAGTCCGTCATCAGACACAAACTCCAGCAGCCGCTTCCACGACAACCGTTCAAAGTCCATGCTCTTCGCCAGCTCCACAATGTTCTTCAGCACGAAACGGCGAGCACTAGCCGCTAGCTCACGACAGGCGTAAGCCTCTGCGAAGTCCTGGATTTCCAAGCAGTTGGAAACATCAAGTCTCTGCTCCAGGAATGCGCAGCATGCTTCTTTGACGGATGGGAACTGGAAGAGGTCCGCTGTCTTGAGCAGGAGGTCCACGTTGTCGTGTGTGACAGTCACGTGACCTGTGTAGCAAAAGTCCACCAGGAGGCCCAACAGTTCAGCCGATACTTCGTGTAGCACCACACGGTCCATGACGCTCTCTCGCAGCGTACCGGCAAACATGGCACGGAAGTAGGTGCTGGCAGCTGCTAGCACAGTTCGATGGCAATGGAACTCTTTGCCTTCAGCACACAACGTGACATCAAAGAATTTGCGCTCGGCGCGGAGCTCATGGATGCCGCGGAGCAAGTTGACAGCATGGGCTGCGTCAAAGAAGGGCAGCATAGAGGGCTGCGTTTGTATAACTGATTTCTCCATTGCTTACTGTATTTCTCTTGGCGTACGTCTGGTCAGAATTCTGGATTCATCTTTAAACAGAGAACAGGAGTTTTATTAGTAGTTTGTAGTAGTAAAACAAGTTCTAAAAACAGAAAACCCCAAATTGAAGTTTCAACCTAACTGTGTATCTTCTCAAAGCGTTTAAATTTGTGAAAGGGATACGGTAGCTTCTAGAATTAAATATCATGTGTTTATGATGACGAATGTGTGCAACCGTTGGTCTTTTAAGAAAGTGTGCTCATCGTGTCTGGTCTATAAATACACCAGCAGTGTCCATTTTCACAGGCTGGGTGAGGGGGGTCTCCACATACCCTTTAGCTTATCTTACTGGAGATTACAGAAACTTCTCCACTCCATCTCATACAGCAACAAATCTAAAGAAAGTTCAGCATTCATCATTTAATCAATCTCATGTCATTCCATTAGTATTATTTATTTTTTCAATTAAACACAAAAGAGAGTATGATCAAGCTGCTCTTTTCCATATAAAGAACATGAATTGTGAAAAGGACACAAAGGAACAATAAAAGCATCACAGAAGTAGTACATACAAGTTGTGTGCAATATTCTAAGTTTTCTAAAGCAGTATGTGAGCTTTGAGTGAGAAACAAAGGTGTCGTTCACTCACACTGTTCAATTTTTCTCTTTGTTGTAGCTCTCAAATCTCATTTGCCTACACTAGAACCGATAACTACATTAGCATCCATATCAGCGTATGATAATGTTCTGTTTATTATAAGCATACCATGCAGTTGTTGTCGTCTGTCGCTTTAAATGCTTAACCTCAATAATGTCAAGTGTATTCTGATTGGCTGTCAATGTTTTTATTGTTCATCATTTGGAAAAAATATAGGAACAATATCATTGGAATCACTTTCAGTACTGTGTTGTTATTGTTATAACTGTGGTGTGGACTTTCTCTATTGTCATGGAATTAGAATGATTATTAAAACTTCATAGTTATAGTTAGCATTATAGGTATGGTCCTTAATGTGAATGGCTCATATTTTGGTCTGTTTATCACAAAAAGCTATTGTATGACTTCAGAAGATACAGAATATAACAGTTACATGATTTTTTAACTTGGCAGTATAAATAAAATTACCATTCACTTACATTGTGTGGAAAAGAGCAGCTCAGACATTCTGCTTAATATCTACTGTTGTGCTTCACAGAAGAAAAAAGTAATATGAATGATATGAGGGTGAAAAAATAATTGATAAAATGTGTATTTTGGGTAAACTATCCTTTTAAAGTTAGATGAACAAATTCTAAATTATACAATATTCTGCTAACAAGTTATTTCATAAAATGAAAAAGCATTTAGCAGTCTGCGTAAATATGCCCTACACTGTTTCTCCTCTATATTCTGTTTATATTCTCAACAAGAGTCACAAGTAAGTAAGGGTTTTTTTAATGGCAGTGTGAATTTAAAATAAAATGGCATTTCCATCTGCAGGGTCAGGTATCAAAACAGGTTGGCAAACAACACACATGCTTCCTTGAAGGCATAACACAACCATAGCTTATACTGAAGAGCCATGTGACATTATGCAGCTCAGTGAAGTTTTATGAAGGTTGGCTCATCAAAAAGGATGAGAGGGAAAGAGAGAGACAGGGGCCCCAATGGGTCAACAAACTGCAGAGAAATAGACCTGCTCTGAACAGCAAAGCTCTACAGTTTTCAGTGAGATACCTACATTATGCATGCATAGCAGGGTTGAGGAATAACACATTCATTTGTGCATGTACTGGGTTCCCAAGAGGCTGGGTATTTTTGGAATGCAGTAGATGCCAATATTCTCCATAATGCAGTGTGCAGTGTCTCAGTTCTGTGTCTGTTAGAGAAATGAATTACCTGAATACACATATATATATACACATATATATACACACATATATACACACATATATATATATA